ATATCCAAAATGGTTCTCATAGGCAATATAAGTACAATGCATAGTATAACAGAAAATTATATGCCCAAAATACATTCGGCACCCGAATTATCTGATGTATTATTAGTACTACAACCAATTTCTTCATACAGTTTGAATCCGTTTATAGGGGTATCACACATAGCTTTTGTTGGATCTGAAACAAAATTAATCGCATAACATCAGCATGAAATGTTTTAAGAAATCAATCAATAAAGTTTTCAGTAATTTGCAGAGAAATTTTATACGGTTAAAAGAATACAAAAAAATCTTTTTATAAAATTTTTATTATTTTTTTAATAAACGTATTACATAAAATGTGTTAAATGTTAAAAGTGCTAACATATATCCAAAATGGTTCTCATAGGCAAGATATAAGTACAATAAATAGTATAACAGAAAATTATGCCCAAATAAATAAATAAAGTTAAAACAACTATTAATAAATAAGATAAAATAATCTACTAAATAACAAGATTATATTATTTAAGGTTACTCTGTTAAATATTCTTATTGATCTCTCTATATAAGGAATGTTAAACTATAACGGAATTACTCTTACTTTGTACATTACTTTGCAGGAAATATAGTTCCTTAAGGCGCATATAAAGACACTTAGAATGCTTAAATTCTATTATAAAATTGATTATAAATTGCACATCGATCTTTAGCATTATTGGTCCACGATACTGATATTGGTCTTATACTTAACTAATTCCATTACCAAATGCACTAACAATTAGGATTATATTATGATACTAAAAATACTAAATTTTACAAAAAAATCTAAAATATGGAAATGCTAAAATATTATAACAATATAAATCTTAAATTAGAGTATGTTATATAAAAACATATTTTGCAAATTGGCAAGTGATGATAATTTATTGCAAAAAATCGCTTGAGCTGTAAGTATTAAATGAAATCCTACAACTATTCTTTTTATAATGTAAACTTTTGTACACTAACTTAAATATTACTTCTGATAAAATAATTATAATTCCCGATGGTTATATAGATAAATATGTATTTAAACAAGTTAACAAATCGATAAACTAAATATGTATTAAATCTTTGTAGCAACCCCAAGTAGACTGCTAAGATATTGCACTAAGTCTTATTTCTAACACAAAATTATACTTTGCTTTGAATTGCGCATAGATATTTTTAAATCCACCCTAAATATTAATTTTAATTGATATATAAGACGCCGATCATTTGTAAAAGAAAAAACATCTCGTAAATTAAATATATTTCATGCAAAACTTAATTGATACATTGATTGGTAATATATGAATAAGAAATATGGAAACAAAATTGGAAATAGACTTTAGAAATTTAGGCCGCATGGTGACAGTGTACAAATTAATTTTGCACAATTAAACTGAATTTTATGAGCATAAAAACATAAAATAGATCCAGCGCACTAGAAACTATATAGGTACCATAATATAAAAATCAACCTGCATAATTCGGATTATGCTTTTTAACGATATGAGTTTTCAAATTATCTTTGCGTCTGGATGAGTGGGGACAATATGGACACTTGAAAGCCGAATGGTCAGTTCCACATTCGTAACGACAATGTCTCTGCAAATTATTCCTGTTAGAATAAATCCTTCCACATTTCTCACACCAATATCGAGGAGGATCACCACGATCAGAATCGTTGTTGTTCCATTTACCATCAGCGTAGATCCGTACTTCCTGGTTCAAGAATTTTGGCTCTGCCTTAATTTTTCGTTCGCATAAAGGTGTAATGGTGGTTGAGCTATTCAGCTTAGAAAGTGCGGCCGAATGTATCAGCAATGGTGGTGGTTTCCTCTCGACATTATTATTTGTTAAACGCTTCGAATTATGATTATTCACTGCTGATTTGCGATCTTGATTGTTAGAGTCATTCATGACAACGACGCCGTTGACGCAGTCCAAGTCTTGGAACCAAAAGAGATCAGCGGTGCCAAAGGCAGATCCATCTGAGGATCCCAAAAAATCAAATAAATATTAATGTAACGAAGATTAAAACTTCAAAACAAAGAAATCGTGAGAGAAAGGATAGATGAAAACTTCAAGTGATAAGTGCAGATCAATTTCAACACAAAAAGTATATAGCAGCATCATATCAGAAACATTACTCATTCAATTCAGAATAGTTTTTTTTTGTAAATTGCAGTGTTGAAATATATCTGTTTAGACTATTTTTTGAAGAAGTTGAAAATACCAATGACTTTTGATGTTTGATGTAAAATTATAATATGTTGTATGTGTGAGTGCAAAGACACAAGTGAGGTAAACAGAAATGACCATGATATATCTAGTTATGTAATTTGGTTATCTCACACGATTGAAAAACACACTAAGCAAATGATAGTGAACCCACCATGAAATTTCTGTGATGATGTGTGCAAGATCCTTCCTCAGTTCATGTTTGGTAATCCATACAACATTACTCCAATGAAACCAATATGCAAGACATGTGAATGTTACAAAATGGTAAATATTTGGTTAGTATATAATATGATACATGAATATGTACAAACATCTGAAAGTGACTGAATCGTATGTTTGAAAAAAGCTACAAAGATTCAGCAAGTTTTATAAGTGGACACAGACAATTTAAAGAATAGCAGAAATTAGCGAATGATTAATATATACAAAAATATGCGATTTATAATGATCACACAACAATATACAATAAATCGCATATTAAATGAACAGATTCAAACAAAGTTAAGTTTTTCGGTATTTTATTATGAAATTGAGTATTAACAATAAGCTCTTATTCTAGGTTTCATAAGCTAGTTTAATAAATAGTATATTCCGATGGCTTCATACATTATCCTATTAAATTTCGTAGCTACAAAAATAATGATTATTTGGCATGAGTATTTGGATAATGCATTTATTTATAGGCACATATTCTAAGACAATAATATTTGTTAAAAGCAAAGTAAATTAAAACTACGCACACAATTATGGTAACTATTGACTAATGTTTTCAAGTTCAAATAATTTAAATTAAATAAAGCATTTAAAATCAAGTTATAAATAAAGGACTGTTTGAAAACCTTAAGCTATTTCAACTTCATCTTTTATTATCGAGCTTTTGTCAAGCCCGGTTTTTACAAGAGCTGTTGCTCCTTCATCTTTTATTATCGAGCTTTTGTCAAGCTCGGTTTTTACAAGAGCTGTTGCTACTCCATTATTATGAGTATTAAGATAATGTCTGGTTAAGTGATATCGCCTTTTAAAAGCTGATGGACACATTTCACACTTGAATCTGGGAGCAGCACCCACCGCAACACATTCGTCTTTCTGATGTCTCTGTAGATGACGCTTATGCTTATATGTCTTTTCACAGTTTTCACAAGCAAATCTTCGAGCAACGCCATCAGTTAAGTTTGGACAACCTTCATCCAGATGCCTTTTAAGATGTGTCTTATGTTTATAAGATTTATTACACGCCGTGCAAGCAAAACAATTTTCCACAGGCGGCGATCCAAAATGCATTTTCTGATGATTATGAATCTGGGCCAAGTGTTGCTGTGGAGATAGTGCATATCCACTAAGATAATCTCGCATGAAAAATTGAGGTACTTGATAGTTCAACTCCATTGATGAGGTTAATGGAGCATATTTAGGAATTTTTGTAGGCCCGACAACAGACATCGAATGCTTGGCCGTTGTATTGTCGATTCCTAAAAAATAATGTGAAATGCAAAAAAAAATTAAACAAAAAATAGCTCATGCAAAAGTAACTAAAGAAAAACAATACAAACAACTGAATAATACTAATAAAATATTTTATAAATTATTATAAAATGCTAAATAAAGAACATACTTCTGTTGAAATAAAATAATATACAAACAAAAACATATTTTCTAAAAAAAATAATAACAACAAAAACTGATACCCGGAAAACAAAAAATCTAATTTCCGTAAAAATATTTTATTGCAAAAATAATATAAAACATGTTCAAGGAATTATATGCTTCTTCTCTCTTGACCACATTCAACTAAATTATCATTGACTCAAAACCAAATGATTTGAGATTGAGATTTAAATATATGGAAATCATGTTATTGAATATTTAAAAAGCAATCATTTATTGAATATTTTAGAAATATATAAATCGATCGCAAAGAGTATCCTTTTATTAGTATCAAAATGTTTTAGTAAATCATAATTATTGAACTATTTTCTTCAGAAGATTAGACTTTAGGTTCAATTTTCTTTCCACTCCTTTATGATCCGAAAACCAGGTAGATCAGTCTAGAAAAGAAAAGAATAACATTAATTAAAGATTTAAAAAGGTTATTAGCTTCTAATGTGTTTTGAAGAAATCCACCTGAAAATAAAAATACAAAAATTAATAATAAACTATAATAATGAAAAATTAAATAATAATCTAGAAAAACTGTAAATGATAAAAATTATTATAATAAAATAATAGGGATCATCATTATAAAATGCTTCAGATCATAATTTACATTCATTATATTTTAACGATACATTTGAATCATAATTTGAGCTTATTAATACAGTTACATGCATGCAACAATATTACACTATATAAATTTCTTTCAGTAAATTAGATGTAACATTTGCCATTAACTGTTAATCTTATGATTACTAATATCATGATAAAGTTTTCTACAAGTAATCGTAGGTTATTTATTTCATCTCAGTCTTAATTTCATTCCAAAATTAAAAATACTATTAGTACGTTCATAGAAATTATACACAAAGCTAATTAAACGACATCATCATCATGATTACACTTTGGGAAATTTTAGCAACTTAGTGAAACTTATATTGATAAAACTAATTATGAATAAAACATTTTCTATTGATCATATCCTAATTATCTCGATAAATGATACTGAGATCATTGTTCTACTTATACATATTCTTTAATAAGATTTGGTATATAATATATTTCTCTAATTCTTAAATATAGAATTTGTATAGAAACTACTTATACAAGTGCTATATCGAATAAATAATATTATATAAATACTATTATATATTTCATGATCTTTGATATATATAGATATATAATTTTTTTAGTACGTCAGAAATCGGGTTCTTACTACCTAAAGTTAACCTAAATCTATGTGGCAAGTATTTCTATATATACATATTAGAGTGATCCTTAACATGGATCATTTTTTAATTTTATTGCTCCCAGGGGCTTAAATGCTTTAGCTTTCAATATTAACTTTTAGAAAGTGCGCAATTCAATCAAAACTTTGTATGGAAATAGGATGGAAAAATTTCGAAAATTTAAAAATGTTTTTTTTTAGATATAACTTAGCGACAAATGAATTAAAAGTGACAATTCGACGCTCTACAAAACAGTTTTTTTATAATTTGTTTTGCAAATCGTCGAATTTTGAATAAAGCTCATCCATTTGTTCGCTAAGTTATATATAAAAACATTTTTTAAATTTTTGAAAATTTTCCCATACTATTTTTCATACAAAACTTTAGTTGAATTGCGCACTATCTAAAAGACAATATTAAGAGCTAAAACTTAAAGAGGATTTTTTTTATCACTTTGGAAGCATTTGAACCCCTGGTAGCAAGAAAATTCGAAAATGTCCATATTAAGGACCACCCTAATATATATAGAAGATTTTGATTTTTCTTTTTACTTTAAAAACTTAAGGACCAATTCTCGGATAATTAGCTATTTATGTTACCTGTCTTATGTTGAGAAATCGAATGAGTTTGCAGTCACAAACTGACAAAATGATATGTCTTTGGTGTTCAACCAAACGTTTTACACAATATCAACTTCTGCAATCTAACCTCCAAATGGCACAAACGTCAGAATATAACTTTAGTTCCATAAGTGGCACCAAATTGTTCCACTTATGATAACATACGTGCAGTCGAACTAATGTTATATTTGACATTTGTGCCATTTGGAGGTTACGATTCAGAAGTTGATATTGTGTAAAACACGCAAACGAACAGCCAAGATAGCTTTTTAACAGTTCGTTATTACCAACTCATGCAACATCTCAACAAAAAAGACTGGTAACATAACATAACTATTTTTTTCCCAGAATTGGCTCCAGATAGTACTACTTCAAAAAGTTAAGTCTACTATAATTAGTCCAGTCATTATAATAACTCACCTCGGAATTCGAGATACCCAGCTGTAAGTCTGTAAATACTTTTAAATCGACACCCTAAAGTTGTCTCAAAACCTACATATAGTAGGGTGTCAATGCCATATGTAAGTTTTGAGACAACTTAAGGGTGTCAATATACAAGTATTTACAGACTCACAGTTGGGTTACTCGAATTCCGAGATTCTTACCTAAATTAAGCCTAAATGACTGGACTAAATAGTACAAATCTCAATTAATCTATTAAATTTGGCCTTTACAAAGTATTTTTAACATTCGAATTCTCGAATTTTACCATTGGATTATTCGAATTGCTATTTGAATTATTCTTTTTCTCGTGCTTATTTGCTATATGCAATTCTAGACTACGTTGATATTTTGTTCTGTGACTACAATATGGGCATTGAATGCTAGGTTCTCGGCCACATTCGACCATCAAGTGCCTCTTCAGGTGTTGTTTGTGTTTGTAGCATTTTCCACAGGTGAGACACAGGTTGACAGGCCCATCATTGCGCCTTCTGCGCCTAGGAAGACTTCCAAAGCTGAAGGTGGGCATTGCATAATAGCCTAGAAATTGTAACAGAAAATACCAAATATATGTTAATAAAGTAACTATAATCCCAAATGTATGAATCGTTTACTACTTGACACCGACACTTAGATATCATACGCTTTGAATTTGTAAATATGCTTAAATATTTAAGAATCTGTGTCAAAATCTACCTAAAAAATCGAGGTTGTTTGGCTAACGCGTTAATAAAAAAATACAAAAAAAAACATTTTAAATTTCTTGTCTAACAATTGGGTTACCATCTAAAAAATACGAAGTAAGAAGAAGTTTTAGCCTAACAGCTCATAGGACGTGAGGTTGTGATTGCTGCCATAAAAAAAAAATCTTGTCTGAAAAATACATAAAATGTTAAACATAAAAAATTAATAAAATTTCACTTTATTTTATTATTTATTATATCACTTAACAAGTAAGATACTTACATACAATGTATACAAATTAATCATAAAAAAAATAATATATTTTACAATTTATAATTTAGAAAGATGGCAGACCGAGGAGCTAACTCTCGGATAAAACAGAAATGTTATGGTAATGCTAATTTACAGGTCTATATTCGTATGAGTTGGTAGTAACAAACTGCCAAAGAGTTGTGCAACCAGACGTTTTACATATAAAACCTGACTTCACGTATGTGTTATCAAAGAGATATTAGAAAGTTGCACTTACAATAAAATTGTTATTTGATGTTTGTGCGTTTTGTAGGTTAGGTTTTATGTATAAAACACCTAATCGTACATCCAATACATAGCCTGTTGAATACTATCAACTTATACGAAGATAGATCCGCAACATATCATTACCATAACATTTCTATTTTATCCGAGAATCGGCCCCTAAAATTTTGCATTAAAATTTTTGGTCAGTAAAATGATGAAAAATTTATTATACAACGAATACTCATAACAATTCCTAAATTCCTTTAGAACGATTGAGTCATATTAAAAGAATTTTAGTTCAAGATGTTTATGTTACAATGTTTTGGACGAACTACATGCTATTCAATATTTTTGTTATACTGTTAATTTTTACATAGTATCTTGGTGCAATAAATAAGACAAGAAAAAAAATTATAGCTAATTCGCACATAACATGGAGATTGTGGTTTTAGTTCTAAATCACCCCATCCATATGTGTCTACTTGTTGGTTCAGATCCTAAAATTAATCCTATACAGAAGACCCTCTAGTCAAATAAATAATAAGTATCCTAACACATGATGAATATTATATGTACATGAGTGCAATGTACTACAAATTCTAGAATGTGAAATATAGATTTTATATCTTACAAGAAATGTCCTGGAAGTCGCGAGTAAATAGATCTAAATTTATCACAATAAACAATAGTAGATACATATTTCAACGCGTACGTCAATAACCAATAAACAAGTATGTACAAAATCTTGTAAAGCTTCATCTTCGAAATAAATCCATATAAAACTATAATCTTTATAATACAAATAAATTATTAATTAACTATAAAATGAGGCAATTAAGGAATGTACTTACAGTTTGCATGAAAATTAATCTTACAACTAAGTGGCATAAAAAGCATAAGATACACGAAAAAATGGAAATTGTGCACGTTATCGTAAAAACACCTATTATTTATTTCAAACACATATCACAAGCATGTTATTTATGAGCCGTTTTTGCCGCAAAATAAACCAATGTTATGGCAAGGCTTTGGTATGTAACAGTTTTCATACAAAATGGTACTAAATATTAACAAAATGCCTGTGCAATCAGGCGTTTTACGCATAAAATGCAACTTCACTCATATGATATTAAACCAAATTTTTAAATTTGGGCGTTTTCTAAGTAAAATTTTCTATCTAAAATGCCTGACTGCACAGAAACCACATGGCTTCTGATAATATTTAGTACGATTTTGTATGAAAACTGCTACATCATATAGTCTTTAGCCATAACATTTGCCTATTTCCGGCAGAATCGGACCTTTAATCGCTGATCAATTTATGAATATATAAGCAACAAAAATTTACATATACCCTTTATATGCCCGAAGTGTTTTGCAAAGTAACATTGCGATTTAATTTTTTGTATTATTAAATTTAATACATAACCATTTAAAACAAACATGTTTTCGATTATGATATCATGCAATTTTGCCCAAGATGCTCCTCTCAGGTAAGCGAGAAAGGCGGCTCTTCCAGGCATTTAAGAAGTTCGGCATATTGGAAGTCTTTCTTGTGCCTGGCCTGGACATGTCCCAGCAGGCTGAACCTCTGCTTAGCCCGGTAGTCGCAGAATGGGCAGCCAAATGCAGGCCTCATACCACATTCGTACTTCATGTGTCGCGAAAGTGTATGCCGGTACTTATATCGCCGTGAACAACGCTTGCAAGTGTGTTCATAATTCTGCCGAAAATCTGCAACATAATACAATAATCTATCCAAATTTCACACAAATTAATAAATGGTGTTCCGAAATGTTAAATATATGTACATAGATATTATTACTAACACTACAATCGAATACATTCATACGTATGTAAGGTGATCTGCACGTCAAAGTTGGCTATATGCCAATTTGAAGCAAGATCAACCCTTACTTTAATAATTATTAAACATTGATTAGAAAATCAGCTTAAATATATAATATATAGAGAAAATAAACAAACATGCAAAACATAGAAAAAACTATGCCAAAACAATCAACTTACATAAACTGCGGTTCATTCATGAATGGATGAATGCAACAAGGATTAGTAAAAACATAGAGGTATTCAAATACATTGCCTCAGAGTCTTTTCCTATCTAAAAACAGTCACGAGGATCCATTTTAAGTTTAACTTATCATTATGCTCCGAAACCAGCTTTAAAAATGTTGTTCGTGTTTTTTGGAATTTGAGGGTCCTATGAGCTGTAGTAATGATTTTAACTTACTACGTCGCTTTACAGAAGATAAACCCAACGGTTGGGCTATCTTTACCTGATAATTTGCTATTAGACTTTCTACATCACTGATGAATTTTTTCAGAGCAATGCCACAAGAGGTATTTTCACTTGGAAACATATTGCTATCTATATTTCCAAATGAAAACCGAGTCACTACTGCTTGACACCATGCTGTCCGTCGCGAGTATAATTTATGTAAAAATGCATTTCCTAAATTAGCTTATCTTTGCCTGAGAATTCGCTATTACCATTTTTACACCAATGATGACTTTCTTATTGATGCAGCAATGCCAGGCAAGAGCTATATTTTCATTTGAAAAGATATTCGATATATTTCCAAATGAAAAGCGAGTCACTACTGCTTGGCATCATGCTGACCGTCGGGGGTATCATTTATGTAAAAATGCATTTCCAAAATTACCTTATCTTTACCTGAGAATTTGCTATTACAATTTCTACACCACTAATGATTTCTTTATTGATGCAGCAATGACACAAAGAGTATTTTCACTTGGAAACATATTGCTGACTATATTTCCAAATGAAAACCGAGTCACTACTGCTTGGCATCATGCTGTCCGTCGCGGGTATCATTTATTTAAAAATGCATTTCCTAAATTACTTTGCTATTACAAGTTCTATACCACTGATAAATTTTTTATTGATGCAGCAATACCACAAGGAGTATTTTCACTTGGAAACATATTGCTATCTATATTTCCAAATGAAAAGCGAGTCACTACTGCTTGACATCATGCTGACCGTCGCATGTACCATTTATGTAAAAATGCATTTACTGAATTAGCTTATCACAAAGGATATTTTCACTTAGAAACATATTGCTATCTAAATTTCCAAATGAAAAGCGAGTCACTACTGCTTGACATCATGCTGACCGTCGCATGTACCATTTATGTAAAAATGCATTTACTGAATTAGCTTATCACAAAGGATATTTTCACTTAGAAACATATTGCTATCTAAATTTCCAAATGAAAACCGAGTCACTACTGCTCGACCACTGATAAATTTTTTATTGATACAGCAATGCCACAAGAAGTATTTTCACTTGGGAATATATTGGTATCTATATTTTCAAATGAAAACCGATGCCCTTCTGCTTGACATCATGCTGTCCATCGCGGGTATCATTTATGTAAAAATGCATTTCCTATATTAGCTTATCTTTATCTGAGAATTTTACTATTACAATTTTTACACCACTGATGAATTTTTTATTGATGCAGCAATGCCACAAGGGGTATTTTCACTTAGAAACATATTGCTATTTATATTTCCAAATGAAAACCGAGTGACTACTGCTTGGTATCATACTGGCCGTCGCGAGTATCATTTATCAAAAATGAATTTCCTGAATAGAAAATATTTGAATTTATTATGATTTTTGCGGCTACGTTTCTTGAATCAAATAGTTTACATTCCACGTTTGATCACTTTTATTCTACAACTTCCATTTTAAATATTTTATAAATTAACAAAAATTATCAACAGAATTTCAAACATCCTATTACGATACGTAGTTATGTTAGGAACGTACAGTTGATATTATTGTTTCAATAAGTAAACAATATAAATATTTGCATTTAATCTTGAAGTAGACTAAGAGAACAAACATTTTGTATCTCGAGGTTAGGATATCGTTCGACCTTAAACGATTATCAAAATTTTCAGTGCAATGCAAAACCGGATCAATTTATAATATGCAATGCACTATCTATTCGAAGCAAACTTGTGAGTAATTGTTTACAATTGGTTTAATGTCGCTTGTCTCGCGGGACGATAAGATAAAATCGATAAGAAGTCGAAATATAGATCAAGAAGGTACACTAATCGATGCAGTATAAACGAAATAAATATATATTTCGTTTAATGAAAAACATCATTGAAACGAAATAACTATAACTTTGGGGCAATCTTTAGGGTTTCCTCTTGGTTATTCCTTTTCATTATTGTGCTCATCAGGTGCCAAAAGATCTTCTGGGTACCTGAAAATATAATAAACGTGTCAGTGTCACAGAAAACCTACGTCTTGCTGACTTTGTCCAAAAATCTTCGTCCATTACAATAAAATATTATAAAGACAATTAGAAACCGTTTTCCCATTTATATTAAGTTGGTCAAACTTATCCCAGACTTGGAAAATGTTCGATAAACAAATTATGTAAAGTGTTATATTTTTACTAGGTAACTTCAGTGCTGATGCATACTTACCATCTAATTTGAAGTTTTTCACAAATTCACTACAATAAAATTTCTGTTTATCACTTAAATAAAAAATAACATCCGGAAATTATTTGATCATATGTGTATATATATAATCTACCATTTAGAAGTTCCAATTTTTTCAACTACTTGTACCTATACCTATACTTCTATTGATATCCGACGTTAGTAAAAAAAAAAAAATACACCACTGAGAAGAGATGTCATCCCCCTGGAGGGCAACGGCGGAGTCTAAATTACCCTCACTTTTGAACTTGAAAGTAAGATAAACTTAATTCCAAAATTTCATGCAAATTGGAGCACAGTAAAAAAAATCAGACCCAAAACGCTCCATGAACTGGAGTAAATATTCCGTATTCAATGTCAAACAAATGAATTTTGACACAATAAAACTTCTAAATATTTTTTTGAATAAATATTTTTTTTTGTATTGTGATTCAGTAAAGTAAGGCAAAACACGACTGCATCAGTTTAAAAAAATCTATCAAATTCAATTATATAACTTCATCTGCCAACATATACTGTATCTTATATTATTTTGATTTCTGGTACATCTCACCTGCTTTTCAGCCATAATAATGTAGACATTACATTAAATTTTTCTTATTCATAATCATTCTCATTCTAATATTGTCTAGACTCATAAGTGAATTGAAATATTTGGCAGATGACAGTCTTCATTTGTTTTCAATGCCAAGCAATACTTCAAATATTTTCAATGTCAAACAATGATAAGCGATTTTTTGTATTTTTTCCATTCATTTCTACAACCTAACTATATTTCTATAATTCAAAAAATCCTTAAAAAATCTCTTAACAAACTCCGGAAAGATTTATCAAAATCCGAATGATCGTTTAGGAGGATTATCCTTTCATACGAATTTTATACATAAGATATATTACGCACGTTACGAACGCATATGTTGCGTGAGACCATTCGTTGTCCATAGCCAGGCGCTGAACGCAACAGGTGCGTTCGCCTTCATTGCACTTTAAGGTAGCACTTTAGTAGAACAAAATATTTAAAATGAATATTTGTACTGTAATTAATTAGAACTGAAATAGTCCTATTTATCCTATTTTGCTTAATTTTTTTTTCATTTCCAGTTAAACTGTCCAGAAATTGTTTTATTTAATATTAAACGAATAAAAAAGGTTAGCACAGGGAGAAGTATGAGTAACAAAAGGTCACCAATGAACGTCTTAATAAAACAATTAAAAAAAAAATTTGCTTCATACAAAATATGTAACGGTTAAAAATTTCACATAATTCAAATTTAAACAAGTTATATGTATCAAATATGATCTTTTACTGCAAGATTTAATCTCAAAAGTTGATTGATGGATATTAAGTAATCTTCGGTGATGATTGTTACTATATAACGGTAATCGGACGTTCAACTCACTTTGAGACCTTCTATTGAAGTACAAGAACAAGGTTTTTTAATTATTATTTAAATAATCTCTATTGGCTAAATACTAAATCATTTAAGTACTTGGGAATACAAGTTCCAAATAGGCAATGACTTTGATTATTTGCTTTGGTTTAACCCTTTCCACTCGGATGCCGCTGCTTCGGCGGAAAAATACATATAAATCTCGCAGTTTGGAAGTGGAAAGGATTGAAAAATTAATGCCAAATTACAAAAAATAATTGGTTATCGAGTTCGAATTTCAATGAATAAATTCGTATTTTCTTATGTAAAACTGTACTTCATATCTGTTATATAAAAATAAGTCGGGTTTTCCTTCCTGACGATATAACTATAGAACGCACGAACCGATTTCGACGATTTTGCATTCGTTGGAAAGGTCTCGGGCTCCGTGAGGTTCATAGCAAAGAAAATTGAAGAAAAAAAATCCAGAAAAGCGGAAAAATCGTTTTTTACATGCAGCGTTATTTCTGATACTTAGCATATACTACAAACTAATATTTTTTGTTTGATTGCTACTCATTTGTTTGACAGCTACTCATTATTCTTAGCTCAGTTAATTTCATGTGACAAACCGGCATTGTGTTCACTGTGAAATTGTGCAAAACATGTAAAAAAATAAGTTATTCGTTTCCTAACATTTCAATTAGAAACTATCAAATCAATCACGTGTATTGTGTAAATTTTTATTCAATTTCAACAGTAGGCAATTTTTTTCTTTATCTTTTAATCACCAAACGAAATGTTAAATAAAGTGAAACCATCTGGTGGTCAAACGGAGTTCGCCCGGTTTGCTAGTTTCTTATAAACAAAATTGATCATGATCAACTTTTTTACCATTATGGCATTCGTTAAGCTCTATTATTACATAGATGCAAAATAAACGAAAATTTTCTCAGACAAATATAAAAGTAGCATGTTAATCGTAAAACATATGTTTTATCTAAAGTTTCACATCTAAAAAGCAGTTAGTCAAAATCAATTAAAAATTGTTCATTCTAATAACATACAATACGTGATCAGAAACTAAAAAAAACAGTGCCTTCTACTATGTATGGTTCACATATGATTTTTTGACATGAAAATAACTTTCTATTACGATTTAGCAAATTATAATTTTTTAGATTGGTTTACGGCCCATAAAACAGTGACGTCAATGCAAAATATTCGTATCGAATTATTTATTCATTAAATGAGAGATTGAATATTTATCTTCTTGTGAACTCAAGTAGTCATTCACTGAGAAAATTCAACATACATTTAATTAATAATACAATCAATTTAATATAATTCGTATTTTAAACGGAAGTAAATACATTTGTAGTGAATCAATCTACCTAAACATAGAGAATAACTTTCTCACAGTTTTAAATTATTTATTTTCTGATAACATAGTATAATAAACAAATCGAATAATTATCACAGAAATGAAATGACGCAA